GTTTTAACTTAAAAAATATTTAATATTACAAAACTATCTAATAGAGTTGTAAATGCCAGTGAAGAAGAAGAAGACAAAACTATCTAACCGTAAGTCAAGGTTCGTGCTGGACTAATTGTGTTTTTCAGGTAAAAATTGTATTTTGTTTTCTAGTTTTATGAAAAAATTGACGCACATAAACATATTTTTTTCGATAGTTTATTTGTTGTTTTTGGTTTTTAGTACAGTATACTGCTTTTCAATGTTTTTTAGCACGGGTTGTGGGAAAAATATGTTGTGTACAATAGTTTGTACTATCGCTCTTATCGATACAGGGTGTCCCGTCAGGATTTAACAAAACCTTAGTTACAATTTAGTTTCCGGTTTTCCAATATCATGGCTCCCGTGGATGATAATATAACATAAAAGAGTGGGTAAGTACCCAGTACTTTTGAATAATGACAGGGTGTCCCGTCAAGATTTAACAATACCTACCTTCTTGAATTTAGATTCAGAACACTCCAGCTTATGTGCACAAAATAGATTTTATAGAACAAATTTATGATGGTCATTGTAAGAATAAGAACAATTAAACTTAGATTAAATTATAATTTTTCTTCTTCTTTCCTCTTTCTGGGTGTTCAATGGAAAACTTTGATTAACTATAACGACTGTCGATTCATGTCGACATTTTTTAGAACATAGTTTAAGCACGCCTCTATCTACACATGCCACCAAATCCAAATGTTGACAATTTACCGCCCCCTGGGAAGGGTTGCAGATTTTTAAATTTAATTTGTATTTTTTATGATTTGAAAGCTTACATTCATTTTTAATTATAATAATAATAACTTTATTGCAACAATACAATATAAAATATACATAATTTTAATAAATAGAACATTTTTCTGAGGATAGGTCTATCATGTTATAATAACTGTAACAGTAATAGTGTGTATAATAATATCTGTAACAAAATTATTATTTTTTTTATGAAAAACCCCAAAATCTGTTTTAAAACTGGAAATTTAGTATATGACCTGATATTTATGTTCGTTTATCGGTTTTGTTGAGTTTTTTTTTTACTGAGTACATCACTGCAGTGTACATTTTGAATACTTCTACACAACAACAATTTTTTCAATTATAATAACGCTTTTGTCGATACTGGGTACTTCATCAGTATATTTTAACAGCTGAAATGTCATATTCTCATATATTTATTCTAAGTAGATAATTTCTCACATTCGTCTTGTATATTGCCCAGAAGCCATGGCTCAAAGTCAGTGGCAACATTTGGGCCCGGATATAGAAATAACCGCAGGCACCTCCCATTGTTAAACAACACAAAATACTAATATTACGATATAATACAAAAACCATAAATTAGGTAGGCACTTAAAAAAAACTTTTAACATCACTTTCATTGCTGTTTTAATGATTGAAACAAACAACAGTACAACTCGAACTAATCAATTTTAAGTTTGGCCGATGCACTGTAAACCTTTGACAATAAATTATATTATACACTCTTATCTTGGGAAAACCCAGTCATTATTCAAAAGTACTGGGTACTTACCCACTCTTTTATGTTATATTATCATCCACGGGAGCCATGATATTGGAAAACCGGAAACTAAATTGTAACTAAGGATTTGTTAAATCCTGACGGGACACCCTGTATCGATAAGAGCGATAATACAAACGACTGTACACAACATATTTTTCCCACAACCCGTGCTAAAAAACATTGAAAAGCAGTATACTGTACTAAAAACCAAAAACAACAAATAAACTATCGAAAAAAATATGTTTATGTGCGTCAATTTTTTCATAAAACTAGAAAACAAAATACAATTTTTACCTGAAAAACACAATTAGTCCAGCACGAACCTTGACTTACGGTTAGATAGTTTTGTCTTCTTCTTCTTCACTGGCATTTACAACTCTATTAGATAGTTTTGTAATATTCAATATTTTTTAAGTTAAAACTAGGCCATGTCGCTTACTTGGCCATTGTCGTTGCTGATTATTATATCAGCGGGGCAATTTGATTGTTGTCTCCGTCAACAATATGCCGAGAAAAAAACGGATGATCACTATGAAAAATTGCTCTACATAGATACGGGATACTCTCACAAACAGTTAATAAATAATTGGGCTGAACATAAGACGAATCCAACATTAAAAGTGGCGACAGCGATTGATGATATTTACGGAAAACTGCTGTGTAGTTATGTGTTTAATTGTAGTTGTTACATGAATTTGATCAAACCTCTGTTGGTCGTAGAAGGTAAGGATGCGTTAAAAGATCCAAATACTGGTAAGATTGACACCGACATTTTATTCGTACGGCAAGTGATGGTTTTGTTAAACGTTTTGTACAATTTCGGTAAGATCAATTCCGCGGATCCCTTATGGCTCGTGTTCATGTATTTAGGTACGTTGAGCAGTTTAACTAAAAAGCCTAAATTAAACCAAGACGATCCAATGCGTTTACTGCAACAGCACGAAACAGTTTCCAACAGACTTGTACAATTCACCGACTTAAATTGCAAAAATGAAGATGATAATAACGTGTACAACGACCGAAACGTTGATTCTGTTTATTTCAAACCTCTGGTAGAAATTCGTGATGGTCCTAAAACAACGCGTGAGTATATCAAAAATTTGGTGGACCGATTCAAGACCACGATTCGTAAGAGAATCGGCAAAATAACTACGGGTTTAAATATTGACGGTTCTACATATTATATGGAATTTGAACAATTGTTTTTGCGTCCTGCAATTGATGACTCCCGTGTTTTTAAGAACTTTTTGAGAGTCGTCGTAGGAATTGACGACGAAAAGGAACAAGACCGTATATACAGTCTAATAAATGATACATGCTCTAAAAGTATTGACGTCGAATCTTATGAGGCACTGTCCAAACACATTGCTAAATGTCATGACCTTTTTATAACCGTTATGAAATACATTGTGTTACACATCTCGTGGATTTACGTACTTGAAATCGCTGCTCGTTTACCATCTAAGAACCCAAATAAAACACTGGTATATAAAGCTAAATTCTACCAAAAATGGCGGACGCAAGACTCTGCCATCAGTAAGATAGAGAGGAACAACAGGCTAATATATCACGATATTAATAACATTTTACAGTATTTGAATTTGAAGAATCATGAAGAATTGGAATTTATCGATGAACTGTTCAAATCGCAATCATCTGCAAGCACGTTGGCCGATGTAGAAAAAAACAATGCAGTTAATAAGAAATTGTTGGCTACACTAAAAAATTTTGATTCTCGTCTTCGTTTACAATTCGGCCAAAGTCTGTTTTCTCCGGTGGAAAATAGCAGATTATATTATAAAAAAAGGTTTATAGCGCTAGTAACGAAGTTATATTCATATCGCGAATTAAGGAATAAAGACGTATTCACTTATATGACTTTTCCTAAGTCAAATAAGCCACTTGTGAGTCAATTAAGTTTCATGTTATTTAGGAGATATGTAGACAAATATTTTAGTATTTTAGACTACACTGTTATCGCTTCATTTGATTCTTTTTGGAAAAATTATCATAATTAATTTATATATTATTACGAAGTATTGATATTTTATTATTTTTCTGTTAAGCTTTTGCTTCTTAAATTTATACTATACAATTAAATGATAATTTCAAATGTGTGTGTAGCTACTAAATAATGTGACTAAATCAGATTAATAAAAGTTGTTAAAAATATAACATACTGTTATTTACTATTTGAATTGATTGTCATTATCAGTTATATAATATTTTTTGTTTGCTTGTTAAGGACAAGCTTTTGGAGGGAAAAACAATTTTATTAAACATATTACTTTAAATAAAGTAAAATATACAATTTCTGAATTTTTTTTTTTTTAAATTAAAATCATATTTTATAATTAAATGTAATGCGGTATTTATTTTAAACATTTTTGCTAAAAACAAATTTGTTTAAAGAAAAAAACACTGTGACATACAAATTCTATATAATTTTTATTAATACAAATCAATCATATGTCATTTAGGTTAATAATATGATACCTAATAATATGATAGTTGGTTGTAATATAAAATTTCCATTAAGTTTTATAAATGTTGGACAATGTGCGAAAAGACACTAGCATGCTAAAAATTTTAGCATATTTACAAGAGTCTTTTAAATATATGTCACAATTCTCTATGACAATTTATTACTATTGAAATAATAACTAAAAACTGAACAGTTTTAAGATCTGTATAACTAGTAAGCACATATGGCAAGTTATTTTAGCGCATTTGCATTGGACAAGAACGATTTTATTAAAATAAATTTGAGCAAATTCACTAAGAACTGATCAAAATTGGGTCAAGCACAACGCACAATTATTATGTTTTGTAGAATTCAACATAGGAAAAAAAACCATTCCACTAATGTTATGTAACGGTTTATGATTGTTATGTTATTAAAATATAGTTTTTGTACTTTTGGGTTATATACAAATTCAGGGATTGAAAACGTTACCTCACCAAAATCAAAACTACTTGTCAAATTTCAACCAGTTAATGAATAATTAACTAATTAAAAAAGGACTTTTTAACTTTTTTTAAAAATGATATAGCGTCTGTTGTACTAGGTATATCGAACAAATACGGATGCTAGAGCACACATGATTTTTGTCATGTATAATATGTATGCATTTCTTTCCTTAACTATACTATGTGAAGTCTGAGAAAAACTACCTAAAGACGTTATGATATTATTGGTCTTGTAAGTGAAATAGAAATTCACCAAAAAGGCCATCTGGGCAAAAAGCCCTAAACGCCATGCAAAGTCGTCTGACTTTTGTAAACAACATCAACACTGAAGAATACATTATTTACATCTAAAAGTATAACTGTCAGAGACAACACAAATAAGAACGGTCGTAAACAACTGTTGTCTACAGCGAAATCGCACAGCTCGATAGTCACAATATTGAAACCGTTTCATTCCTATAACCATATGTTATAAACCACAATGTTTACATTGTTTTAATCAAAGTCGCATACTACGTGCAAGTTATTTGCTACATCACTCGCCACGCTACACGCCACGTTATAGAAAGTCTTGCGGTAAATCAATAAGATACAACACTGCCATTAAATTTCCAAATCGACACAAGTACTATTAGGTATTGAATAGTTTCAAAAGATTGATCAAATAATTGATTATTTTCAATCCAAGAATATCGTTTGAAAATTTAAAATGTATTCCAAACATTTCATACCGTTTTTCTGCGTGGCATTATACTTTTTGCAATGTCAGGGTGCTCTTCCAAATTTTGAACAACTTGTAAGTATAACGAGCACATATTATTAAATTACTAAACTTAAAATTCCTACTAAAAAATTAATGTTATTACGCTAAAAAAAACCAAGCATATATTATATTTTTTAGTTAAGCGTTTTGATTTTTATGTGTACATTATATATAAAAATATACTAATTGACTAATTCATATTCTTAAAACAATAGGATGCTATAAATGAAATAATCAGGGATTATTTATATCCTGAGGGCATAGTCGATGAAGAAAATCGGACCACTAACTTGATAGGTCTAAGAGATATCATTGAAAAGGTAGGACGGCGAATCGGAGGAAACAAAGAAATTCCCACTGTTGATGAATTGAAAACCATAGGATCAAGTAAAAACAAAAAAAATATCCAATAAATTGATTGAGTAAATTGTTCAAAAAACATTTAAAAGACATTTTAATAATCAAGTTTGTCATTTGTATAGCTTTAGATTATTTTTTAACATAAAATCTTGACTCAAAAATCAGATAAAAAATTTAGAAATTAGGGGGCCTTTTTTTGGTAGTGTAAAAATATTTTTAGCAAAATGTTAGTTACAAAATTCTTTTTTTTTTAAAACATTATAAATTTCGATAAAACCGTCTAATATGATATCACATTATTATTATTAAAATTTTACGCGTTATTATTTTTAATTCATTCTAGGTAAAATAATTGTTCTATTTAGTTATTAAATAAAAATGGGCAACATTTTGTGATTTTAGGATTTACATACACATTGTGGGAAGTTAAAAGATACGTTGCAAAATTCGTAGATTGTGAAGAATTAACCAAGGAAATGGAGGTAAATTGAAACTATACTATTATGCTAGTTAAGTTATAGATATGTGTTAGGACACTGGTATTATTGCAAGTTTCAACTAATCTATAACACAAATAGGTTGAAATCCGTATTGTAAGATTCTTACTGATTTGTACAACGTGTAAATTATTGTTTGGAGAATTAATATCGCGATTGAACATTTTTTTTTAAGTGATTTTTTAACGCCTACACTAGACATTTTTTTTGTTGTATGTATTGAAAACATTCTAATGTCTAGTTTTTATTCTGAAAACAATAGCCAAAGGTACGTTCTCTGTTCGAATCGTTCAACCGGCCAAATGGCATATACTTTCAAGAATTAGATAATCTACTAACACGATTATGGACGGCTTATCGGAATCCGGATGGCAAATATCCATATCATAAGGAACCGAAAACAGCAATACCGTACAAAATGGCCAGATCGGGTAACAAACAAAATAATTACAATTAATAAATGTCTTAATTGTCTCAAATGATCAAAAATTATTAAAAAAACATTTTAGTAAAGGAGTTTGTCACGTGTGACACATGTGTATTCTGGAAATTATAATTATTATTTTTACTGAAAAATCATAATTCTCTGAGCGGGCAAAATATTGAACAATTGTTGGTGGACAAAATAAATCAAAAACTTGTGGGATACATGATTGGTTTTTTTTCCCATTTTTTTTTTAATCTTTACAAATAGTTTAAAATTTAATTTAGTTTTAATGATTTGAAATAAAAATGTTTTGCGAGTGTAATATGTTATTGTTGACATCTTGTTTGCTGTAAAATTGACCTGATTGGTTTGTTAAAAAATGTATAATATTTTGTACTTTCAGAATACAAGTTTACCAGGGACGAAGTTACAACCATCGTCACTGATTTTTTCTTTCCTGGATTTTTTTGATATATTTATTATTTTTTAATTATATATGTTTAAACATGTAGTTTGTCACATAAAAATGATGTTTTGATGAAATAATAAATCACTTTGCTCTTATATTTTGGTTATCATTTATTTAAGTTTGACTAATCTTGCATGAAATATCAAAAAAAAAAGTTCTATTATTTACTAAGTAAAATTGTTTAGTCCTGAACACCTTTAACTTTCTCGTCTCTAATAAGATTTGACACCTAATCCTCAGGCATTACTTGCATAAACTTCGAATGAGTTATTAAGGCATTCACAAGGTATACGTTATAGTTCATATTTGTATAACAGAAAATATTTACATTTGTTCAAATTACAGACACGGCCTCACATCATTTTCAAATGCGAATCTGTAACAATGGAAATACACATAACAAAAAACCATGTACCCAAAAACAATATAATCTTTTTTAAAATATATTTTTATTAATACAGTGGATAATTCTATAGTAATATATCTGAGAGAGTTAGAGTGATTAAATAAAATTTCGGTTCTCTATATAATAAAATATTGAAGTGGTTACATGCGGTCTATTTTTAAGGAATTTTCTATAGTTACCTATACCAAATTACTATTATTTAAGAAAAATGCGGTCTCCAATAAGTTCCAAATTTGTATAGACTTTTCTAGAGCCCTAGTAATGCCGATAAACGTTGACAACCCGAACAAATATCATAAACCCTTTCCCTTTGAAGGGACAGAAATTTGTTCTTTCTTATCAAGCATCATTAAAAAAAAATAAATAAAAGAAGGGGAACGTTATACTTTGACCGTAGTCAATAGGTACCTATTTGAAATATTTTGATTATACTGTTAATTACGATACATGGGACGATCAACCCTAATCGTATTCGCCTTATTACTAAAAAAAATATTTTTTAAGCACATAATAATTGCGTCAGTAAAATAAGAAATTGTTCTCTCCATACCTGTTAACTTTTGTCAACGCGGGTGAAAACATGAAAAAAACACATTACTTTTAAAACAAAACGTACTCGTCCGTGGCAAAAGAACGAAAACACACCTTTGTAAACATCAGTGCTAAAAAAATTGTACAACATTGCAAAAAAAAAAAAAAACCACGGTTTTGTATTTGTCTAGAAAAAAAGCCCATGCGTCTTACAGTGACGAATGTGCGATACATACAATCGAATAACATATCCAAGAACACAACGGGATTTGGCAAATATTAATATTTTTAACAAAACCGTTACTGTTAGGTCTGAATAATAACACTTGCTAAAAAATGTATACATATTACCCACGTTCATTTAAATTTTACACTGTATATTTTGAGGTTCTCTGTCGTTCAACTTTACAGATTTTATAAGAATAACAAAAGTTCTTTATTACCCTCCTCCCAAATTAGTTTATTTGATAGCTAATTTTGATTTTCAAATAGCAACACCAATTTTTTTTGTTGTTAAAATTATCAACAGCTTTTGTATGTATATCATGTATACTTCAATTTTGCATGCGTAGTTACATAATTACATACATTTAAATATTATGGATTGGACGGGAGGGGGGCGTCTCACTTATACACTTTTATGTAGATGCTATTGGGAGATACCATATTACTGTTATACAATTTGTAGAATCAATTTTTAATCCACTGGGCATTCGACCATACGTTCCCATGGTCAAAAGTCCCCACCACGATGTAGAGAAGATAAGGTGACACCACTCAACTTCTTATCATTAAATATCTGAGGTCGAATGCTTCAGGCATATTGGTAGTTCAGCTTCGCTGTACTGGTGGCGAAAACTGTGTTTTCTTTATTTAATCTGATCTACTCTTTGTCCAGGACAATTATTTACTTCATTATTCATTAATTGGTTAAAAATATTTTATATTCATCAATGTGTTTATCAGGAAGGGGGTAACAGTATAACAAATAGGGGAAAATTGAGATCACTAACAATAAGAAAGTTTAAAAAAAAATCAATTATTAATTAAACCCAAAGAGATATCTAGTGGTTCACGATAAGTTGATCCCTCTGTATATTTTTCAAAGTTGTCAGTAATAATAATGATGAGGGTTAAAACCATAGTCAGTAGGCACATTAACTAAATTAGAGAAAAACAAGGTTTAATAAAAACTCTAGTATTGTACTTGCATTATGTGCTAGTAGTATATTACTTGACTTTGCTTTTCAATATGTTGAATTTTTAATAATAATAGTAATAGTAATATAATAATAATAATAGAAATAATAGTAATAACATTAGACTACAGGAAGTCAAAATCTAACCTTTCCATATCGTTTTCCAATTTGATTTCATCAATATATTCTATGATTAATTGAATGAGGCTAAAATCGACATATTTGAACCTCCGACGGAGTACAAGATGAAATGCCCTGGCCTTTTCCAAACTGTTATACTCAACCGGCACATGGGTAATTGTATTTGCCAAACTTATTGTATCAGCATTCGACGAACTTGCATCGGATACCTCAGATTCTTTACTGTCCATATTGAATGGATCGTCAACCTCACAACCGAGAGGCAGACAAAGCGATACTAGTACAGAATATACAACCCTTACCACACTATCTATTTTTTCTGTTCCATTAGAGAGATTATTGATAGCCGATAGCAAGTTCTTTACTTGTAGGTCGTTGGTTAAGCTTAACAATTTAACAAATGTTTTGACCTCGTTGTACCATTCAAGCACCGGACCTTCTGAATACTGTAGATATTTCAGGTGATTTAACGTCAGCTTGAACATGATAACTTGAAAAAATGAATAGACAAGCTTATAGTATGATTTTAGATTTTGAAGGTTGTCGGTAGTCCAATCCAGTGTATGTGCGTCACGATAAGATTTTTTTAATCGTACTTTGGTTATGTCTGGCCAGCTCACTTGTCCTCTACTTATATACATTAAATCAGACTTTCTAAAAAAAAGACTATTCATTTTTAACTTCTCTACAAACTCATCAATAAATTTATCCTCTGATAAATTGGTCTTTTTCAGCAGTTCTAAGGCCTCTATATTATTTTTGTGTACCATATGTTTCCACACATGTTTTGGTGGATAAGGTTTTGAGTGAATCATATTATAGAAACTATCATAAGAATTATCTTTATGGCATCCGTTTAGGTCTTTTAGTAGTTTATTGATGACATACTTGTGCGTGGCTTCAAGTTTCTGATAGTCTGTCGGTATATCGATTGAATGTTCAGCCAAACCAGTTACTAAATTCGTGTACAAAAGTAGTAACCATAGGGATCTCATATTCTTTATTTTTAAACTATACAAAGAAGCTATCTGCAATTTAATGGTATTTTTATAATAACTTTCGTCAACTGCCGTCAGTGTTGTTGGCGTATTATATGGAGGGCTAATTAAAATCTGAGTTAGCAGCATGTGCTTTAACCCACTGAACAGATATGTGCATTTGAAATAATCAGACTCACTATAATTTTCGATATGATCTTTGCTGCGATATTCGTATCTGATATCCATTAATTTTACCGATTGACAAAAGAATAGCACAAAGCAATAAAAAAATGTCTTGAGCTTCATAGTTTTTTGTAAAATTCAATAACTGTTCCACCGAAAAAAGTCTTGTTTGCTTGATGTTTTTCGAGGAAGAGAAATATTGCTACTGATGAAACATGACTTTCATCGTATTATAATGTATACTTTAATCGATAGTTTAGCGATTGGAGTGTCTACAATACACGTTCGTGTTGTTGTGGCGTTATTTTAAAGGAACAATTTTTTTTTTATTTGTTCAGACCACATTTCTTTTTATTTCAATTTTTAAACTGACTGTACTGTAAAGTATTATTACAGTCGTAGATAAAATATTTTTGTTCGCGTATAATTTTTTTTTCAAATAAAATAAGGTTTTATGTTAGTTAACCAATTAAAACCGTTATCATAGTAAAACATTTATTATTTTGGTTTTAACCGGTACTTATATACGCAAAGCATATGATAAAGTTCTAGAAAATACTAAAAAAGATAAAAATTTAAATATTTTTTTTGTATGTAAAGGGTTGCTAGAAGAAGATATTGGTTTGGCGGTCACAGTCAATAATGTGCTTAAATATATATTTTTGTAATAAAACTAGATACGACAAGGTTTGAGCGACTGAGTTGATAATAATTATTCGAGTTCCAATATCGATCATTTTATTTTAGTTAGTGACTTATTTTCAAAATGATGCGATGTAGGTATTTTGTAAATATATATATATATATATTTGTTTTTGGTTTTTTTTTTTGGCGCTATGTTACTCTACAGACGAACAGTCATATTTTTTTGTACTAGTACAAGACAAATCTTTTTTTTTATACTTATTTCTTTTGGTTTTTTATATTTTCAGAACTACTTTCTGGCACGGTAGTATATGTATTGTACATTTACATAAGTTATTGCGAATGCCTATTTTGTATATACTAAATAATTTACCATCGTTGAAACGTTTAGAATTATTTTATTTGTTATTTGACTCCACAAGACAAATTGTAACTACACTGCATTTAGCGTTTAACACATAATTATAAGTACGTATACAACTAGCATTTTTTATTTTAGCTAAAATCCCCTTGTTGTACTGAAGCCGGCGATGTATAGGGAAGTGTTATTTTGAAGTGTTATTTTATTATACAGTATATTTCACAATGACTAAAGCATTGCAAACTAAATATGAAAAACACCAGTTGGTTACACATGGCCCAAAAAGTTTTTACGTTATACGAACAGTCATATTTTTTACAAAAACAATATTTTATAGATTTAAATTATATTATTTTCATGATCTAAATTGCTGTGGCGTATACTTACCTGAATTATGCACATGTATTTAAATGGAAAAGCTATTAGAATAGTATGATGGGAACAGAACAGGGGTTAAGAATGTTAGAAGAGAGAGTAGGACAATGAAAAGAGGATGGGAAAATCACTTATAGTAGGTGCTTCGATGGGAGACAGTAGGCTTGACAGAAGGGGACAACCAGTGCTGGTACTTCATGACGTGTGAAATCGTAAATTAGACAACCAATAGGTCGCTAAAGAAGAAAATTTAAATAAAAAAGACATGTTTCAGTCAGACCTCAGTCACAAATTTAGTAAAGTTAAATTAAACAAAAACCAAACGAGTTTCATCCATACACCGAATCAGAATTACTTCAATAGATTTAGAACGGTAGATAAACAGTAAAAGTTTTTGAGTGCATATTATGCTCCGTCACCATTCTGCCTATCACTCTGCACTGGATTTTTACTTTTGTATTTAGATATTATTTTTTGGATAACTAATAATACATTTAGACAAGCCAAAAATATGTAACAATATTTATTTTTATTTATCACATTACAAAAAAATTAAAAGCTATAACATGTGTTACAAATAAACGAAAAATGTATTGTTAAAAGAGTGAAAAATATTACTTGCCTAGAGATGGAAAATGTAGAAATCCTACACCGGCCGGTATTGTAGCGTCCACATTAGTTACTTTTCACCCGTGGACGGTACCACGTCATTAACAATCCCATAATACTCGTTATACTTTTGTTTCATATGATCTATAAAAGCCTTTTTCTTTATATGACCATCGACTAGAAATCATTATAAAAGTATTCACATCAAAATGTATCCAACTATATTATATTTTAACGAGTTGACTGGTTGCAATTATTATTATTGGGTTTTTATGTACAATATTTGACCCCTGATATTATAAAAAGCTATTTAAAAACATTAATTTTTTCTGTCCGCTTATTTGGTTTTTAAATAATCTAAAATCGTGTCTAAAAAAGTCATGGGGAATGCCACAAAATAAATATTGTTTTATCACATAATTTTTAGAAAAACCAAGATAAAAGCGTTTTATATTCCTGTATAATTTCTGCCTAACCATCTTTACATAGTACGTTGTAGTGTAAGTAATCCCCAAAAATGTTGTAAAAACACTACCTATTCCAATAATCACTACCAAGTGATTATTGGTTGTTCACATTTCACGTATATACATATATTTTACAATATTTATTACTAAATTATTATTGTGTACCGTACCCTTCGGCAAGCCCTCTGTTATCGCTCTCATGCTTTCCATAGTTAGTCCATATTCTGATAAGTGTTTATTTAAGTAGCTTCTTGTATCTATCTTGTTAACTGTTCCAAAACATCCAAAGCAACCAAAAGGACAATTTGCTTTGGCACTTAAAATTTTGACTTCGGAATGTATTTTTTCCAGTTGCTAAAATCATTATATTTTTATAATTAATACACAATGTAAACAATGCTATTGCAGAAATAATGTGTCTCGAATTATTCACTAGATTTACAGAAGTTATCATTATATATTTTTTCATTTAATACATTAAGCTATGAGATCATTTAATCACCTTATCAGTAAACGTGTTTGCTATTTGAAAATAAACAAACAAGTATACAAATATATTAGCATATTTAAAATACATAGTTTTTTTTTTTACACTCGATGTAGGACACTTGATGTTTTGCAGGAATTTAAGACTTTAATGATTCGTATTCTTTTTAATGCATTCTGTCGTAGCGATTTCAGTGTTACGTTGATATTATACAAATAATAATGGTGGCTGTCAATCATAAAAAAAACAGTAGTTGTTTTGCCGTTTGACAAAAAAAACACCTGTTATACTTGCTTACACGACGGTCTTTAAGCCAAACATTTTATAGGAAAAAATTGTTTTATTCTCAATGACCTCCATAAAAATTGAATTTTTTTTTTATGTTTGTTCAATAGTTTGTTGTTGTACTGGTGATAGTATATGAAAGAAACAACAACAACAAATCCACCTAGAACATTTGTACGAAAATTTAGCCGATTTAGTAATATCTACAGTTTAAATTGAATTAGGAAATTAATATACATATTTTTTGTATATTTAGAATTTGAAAAGTAATATATTATATGTATTATATTTTCAATTTTCTCTGTTAATTTAATTTTCTTACAAGTACTAAAACTTTTCAATATTACAAAACTCTCTAACTGTAAGTCACGCAGCAGTTGTGTTTTTTGTAGTACTAATTGTGTTTTTTAGGTAGAACTTGTATTTTGTTTTTCTAGTTGTACGAAAAATTGGACGCACAAAAACATATTTTTTTCGATATTTGTTTATTGTTTTTGAGTTTTAGTATAGTATATTGCTATTCAATGTTTTTTAGCACAAGTTTAAATAAATTATTTTACGGGTTGTGAGAAAAAACGAATGTACAACAACATGTTTTTCGACGCTCGTTTCGCTCTTATCGATACAGGGTGTCCCGTCAGCATTTAACAATACCTTCTTGAATTTAGATTCAGAACACTCTAGCGGGTCTAGCCTAAGTTTATAAAATAGATTTTATCAAACAAACTTATGATGGTCATTGTAAGAAAAAGAACAATTAAACCTAGATTAGATTATAATTTTTTCGCATAACAAAATAAGTATGTAATATGTACTACCAAAAGGGTGTTTGGACCTTTTATTAAAAACAAAAAACACTCACTTTGTTGTTTGACTTTTAAAGTAATTCTTAGAAGTTAAATCTATTTTTGACAATATCGGTTAAATATGAATTTTTTTTTATTTTAATTAGGATTTCTTGTGCTACAACTATAAGAATAATTAATTTAAATAATATCGGTTTATTTTCACGATACATCACAAAATCCGGATTATTTTCATTGAAGTTCGAAATCCGAAATCTGGCTTTTACGGTTTTAAATAAAATAACTCAACAACACCGATAAACAAATATGAAAATCAGGTCATTTACTAAATTTCAAGTTTTGAAACACACTTTGGAGTTTTTCATTATAACAAAATAATTGTGTTACAAATATTATCACGCAGACTAATATTTTTAATATTAATGTTAATTTTTTTTGGTTTTTGGGTTGTAGTTGGTGGATTTTTTTTACTTTTGACCATTCAAAGGACCACGGGCATAGGAATAATGTTGTAATATTTGTTTTAATTATGATTTTAATAATTTACTAAATATTATGTAAAATAACCAATAAATATTATTAAAATTATTTTTAAAAATAATACCGATAATAAAATTCATATAACTTTTTCAAAAGGTTTTAAATGAATATATAACACAAAACACTGCTGTGGGGTCAGGGTATAGTTAGGGAACCGAAACGGACAATTCATTGACCTGAGCGGAAATGTTTTTTCTAAACTGTATACAATTATTAACTATTGTAATGTATATTTAATTTAAAATTTAGACCAAAATGTATATAGTTTTGTATCAATTTATTAATTCAATTGAGGTGAATTAAATCATCCTCAATTGAATTAACCCGAAGTTTCTATTCATGATGAAGAAATTGGTTCAAAAATATTGCAAATAATGTTTAGGTTTGAACTACAGCCAAACTAAGCCAAACTTTTCTTTAGTTTAAACATATCTGTGACGATTACTGTAATCTTGAAATCGAGCATCACCGAATTATATTATTTGAATTGACACGAAACACGCCTGGTTGAAAAACGGTGTCGAGTATAGGCAATATCGCTACATGAAAGAATATATGCTTCGAATCAGTATTATTTTTTTAAGGGAAAAACAGTTATTGTATTGAATTATTGAAACAGTTACTTGTTGGTCATACATTAATATGTGCAACACATTAATGTACGTCCATCCAAAAACAACATAAGTAACAAAAATAAAAACTTTAAATTTCTTATTCACGAGTTTTATTTAAACTCGTGCTAAAAAAACATTGAATAGCAATATACTGTATTAAAACTCAATAACAACAAACAAATATCAAAAAACAACATGTGCAACAATTCACTGACCTTAATTTGCAATAATAAAGATAATAAAAACGTGTAAAACGACCAATAGATCAAAAATAAGTTATCATATGTTGATTCTAGCTAGAATTTAAACTTAAGAGGTTTAAGATCTAAATTGATTGTAAAAACTAAGGGATGGAAATTCAAATTTTATGACCAATATTTAAAAAATATACAATAATCTTGGAATAACATATTCATTGGGAAATCCATCGACAAGGATGTTAAATGTATTAATAAAATAGTAAATTATTGTTTACTTTAATTTATGAATCAATTCCATTAGAAAACAAAAATTGTGTAATTCTGTTAAACACAATTAAAAGAGTTAATATTAATGAATATTCTCTATATTTTTTGCCTTAGCTTTCCTAGTTTATAAATTATTTAAGTTATTTCTGAATTATGATATACTTCCTACGGCGTGAAAAATATGTTTTATCCAAATATTGAAGTAAGGTGATAAAGGTGATATTTCGAATTATAATACCAATATCTAAGCTTATTATTTTGTCACAACTTATAGAGAAATTAATTTAATTAACCCGCAGTGAGGCTACCGTATATTTAAACCTATTGAAACTATATGTAAAGTTCACAATTTGTTATACATTTATGAGAAACTTTTGGGTAGAAATGATTAAAGGTTTTTTACAATATTTGAAAATTCTACATTAACTGCATTCTATAAATATGGGACTATAAAATTAATTGTTCATTTGAAAGTGACTTTTATTTCGTATCTCTCAGGAGGGAGCCAGTTTTATCGTTATTTTTTTTTTGTAATTCCAATTTTATTATTAAAGGGCTAAGAAAAATATTAGGGTTTCCACTTTTGTCTAGAGTTACACATGGACTAAAATGAAAAGAACATGAAAAATAAAATAGGTCAGACCACCTACAGTTAGCTTAGATAAAACAAACTAGGTAGAAGTTACCACAGTAAAAGAGCCATCGGTAGATTTATCCAATAACATATTCCACATAACACATTTTGTGTCTCTGACTAATGTGCAATATTTATTAGTTATTTTACATATTTAGTAAATTATTAAAATCATAATTAACAGTAAATTAAATATTACAACATTATTCGTATGCCTATGGTACTTTTAATGGTCAAAAGTAAAAAAACCAACTACTGCATCCCAAAAAACTGAAAAAAAAATTGACCGGTTTTTCAATTGTAATTCAATTGATTTACTTGATAGAACTGTCCAATCAATTTGACAACATCGTTCAACATCAGTTTCATTACTGTTTTGATGTTTGGAACAAACAAAAGTACAATACTAACTAATAAATTTCATGTTCAAGTTTGGCCGATGCACTGTAAACCTATAACAATAAAGTATATACACACATATCATACGAAAACCCAGTGATTATTCATAAGTACTGGGTACTTACCCACTCTTTATACTATGTTTTCGTCCACATGAGGCGAGATAATGGAAAACAGCTAGTTATTTTCAATAATTGAACGCAATTGATTTTTGTACTCTACCTTTTTATATATATACGCCACTGCTCAGAGTTCTTTTTTTACTGTATACCACTCTGCAGGGAACCTACATATGAAAGCTCAGTTACAAGACTATGGACTAGTGATGCGAAATAAATTAGGCTTTTATTTGAAACCGTAAAAGACAGTTTTCGGATTTCAAACTTCAATGAAAATAATCCAGACCTTGCGATATACGGAGAAAATGAACCTAAATATTTTAATTAATTATTCTTAAAGGTGTAACAACAAATACTAAAAAAATTAAAATTAAATTCATTTTTAACCGATATTGTCAAAAAAAACTTTTACGAATTACTTCAAATGTTAAAAGACAACAGTTTTTTATTTTATTTTTCAAAAATAAAAGGACCAAAAAAAAAAATTTAGTTTTTTATTTGAGTAATTAATATTTTAAGATATGGATGACTAACAACGGGTTTTGTATTTAATAAGTTTTAATTTAACATATTTTAACATTTTACAAATAAATTTGATTATTCTTATTCTTACCATGACTATCATAAATTGGTTCTATGAAATGTATTTTGTGCTTATGTGTTCTGAATCTAAATTCAAGAAGGTAGGTATTGTTAAATCCTGATGGGACACCCTGTATCGATAAGAGCGAAACGAGCGTCGAAAAACATGTTGTTGTACTTTAGTTTATTCCCACAACCCGTGAAATAGCTTATTTAAACTAGAGGCAAAAAAACATTGAATAGCAGTATACTGTACAAAAATATGTTTTTGTGTGTCCATTTTTTCGTACAATTAGAAAAACAAAATACAATTTTTACCTAAAGAACACAATTAGTGCTGCAAAAACCCCAACTGCTGCGCGACTTACAGTTAGAGAGTTTTGTAATATAACAAATATTTTTGAAGTTGAAACTAGGTCATGACGCTTACTTGGCCATTGGTGTTGCTGATTATTATAATAGTGCGGCAATCCCCATGTTGTTACCGTCGAGAATTTGCCCAGACAAAAACGGATGATCACTATGAAAAATTGCTCTACATAGATACGGGATACTCTCACGAACAGTTGATAAATAATTGGGCTGAACATAAGACAACTCCAACGTTGACAGTGGCGACAGCGATTGATGATATTTACGGAAAACTGCCGTGTAGTTATGTGTATAATTGTAGTTATTACATCGATTTGATCAAACCTCTGTTGGTCTTAGAAAGTAAGGAGGCGTTGCGAGACCTATTTACTGGTATGATTGACTCCGACATTTTATTCGATTACCAAGTGGTCGATATGTTAAACGTTATGTACAGTTTCGGCAAGATCAATTGCGACGTTAAGGGGGATCCCTTATGGCTCGTGTACATGTATTTGTATACGTTGAGCCATTTAACTAAAAAGCCTAAATTAAACCAGGACAATCCAATGCGTTTATTGCAAGAGCACGAAACAGTTTCCAACCGACTTGTACAA